TCTCACCCTGCCAATTACCATGGCTGGATTGTTGCACGCAAACTCCAAAAACTTCGGAAACAGAAAACTGGAAAATTTCAAGCCCATCAGAGTAAAATAAATCCAATTGAATCTAATGATAGTAACCATGACTCTATAGTTAAGAACTCCATTATTAAAACGAATTCAAAACCAGTCAGCCAGCTTGAATTCACATAAAAGAGCTCTACTGCCAGTTCAAACTTAATACCTAGTTCATCAAAAAAACCAACGTTTTCTGAAATCACTAAAGGCATTGCTCCTCAATATCGAACAGGATCTACTTAACCAAATTTTAACAAAAATCAATTCACAAGAAAAGATTTATTTAACACTAGATAAGAGTCTGCTAAACTTAGAAGAAAAAATGTCTAAACTACAATGATGAGTAGAAATCTTAAAATAATGTTGTGAAATGGCAACGGTCTTTTAAAACATCAACATGAGCTGGAAGCACTATTAATAACAAAAACTGTGAATATTTGTTTAATTGCCGAAATACATTTTAACAATCAGTCTTATATTAAATTTCGAGACTTTTATCTCTACCATACTTTACACCCTAGCAACTGTACGCGCGGTGGATTAACCATAACACTAAAGCACTATGAAGAAGAAAAAATTGCCACTGATGAATTCCAAGTAACAACTGTAACATTTGAAACCGCAGGAATCAAAGTTTGCTTATCAGCCGTTTATAGTCCACCTAGACATTCAATAAAGTGTATTCAATACGTATCACTTTTACAAAAACATAACATAACAATTGAACAAGTCCACAGAATTGCAAGTGAAATCCACACTGCCTTCCAGGAGAAAAAATATTGCACTGCCATTTTTCTGGACGTTGCTCAAGTTTTCGACAAGGTTTGGAATGAAGGCTAACTTGCGAAAATTAAATTAAAACTCCCTGAAAACATGCATCGGTTATTTCTTTTTTACTTAACTACTAGAAAATTTCTTTTGAATCATAACTCTTTTACTTCAAAAGCAGTTGAAATAATGGCAGGTGTTCCTCAGGGAAGTGTTTTTGGGCCGTTTTTATATTTACTATACACAGCCGATCTTCCTCTCTTTACTAACCACAAAATCTCAACTTTTGCAGACGATACTGCAATCCTTAGTGTACATAGAAACCCTAAAATGGCCTCTCAGAATTTGTCACTTCATCTGTGTCTTGTTGAGGAGTGGTTGGCCAAATGGAAGATAAAAGTAAATGAATCAAAAAGTGTTCAAATAACGTTTGCACTAAGAAAAGATACTTGTCCACAAGTTACGCTGAACAACACTCCAATTCTGCAAGCAAACGACGTAAAGTATCTTGGCATTCGTCTTGATAGAAGGTTGACTTGGAGCAAACACATAGATAGTAAGAAAACACAAATGAAATTAAAGTTTAATCAGCTCTATTGGCTTATGAACTCAAATACTAAACTAAGTTTTGATAATAAAATCTTACTATACAATTGTATCATTAAACCTATATGAACTTATGGAATCAATTTATGGTGTTCAGCTTGCTCTACAAATATTGAAAAGATTCAGAGAGTGCAAAACTTCATCACACGTAAAATAACAGGAGCCCCGTGATACGTAAAAAACTTCAATATCCATAAGGATTTAAACATCCCACTAGTAAAAGATGTTGCCTGAACATACATAGACAAATATTTTACGAAGCTTAGTGTACATCCCAACCCACAAGCCAGACAGTTGGTTCCAACACTTAGAACTTCACGTTTGAAAAAGAAACAACTACTAACCTGCTGATTTTGATTTGAGTTTATTATTATTATTATTTAAAAAATATATTTTGATAACTAAATTATTGCTAAATTGATAAATTTATTGATAAATTTTTATGCTATTACTATTATTATCAGTTTTTAAAAGATTATAAATAACCCACAAGGTACGGCTTTAAATTTTTATATTTAGTTTAAGATTTCAAAATTTATTGTTATTTTCTTATGTTAAGAAGGATTCAATAAAAAATGAAATGAAAAAAAAAAAAATAACCATCGTTTTATCATGGGTAGTGATTTTAACGCCAAAAATATAAACTGAGGTTCTCGATTAACGACTACTACAGGAAGAGAATTGATGAAAGCCATTGAAGTCACAGGATGCAGCCATATATCAACTGGAAGTCCGACTTATTGGCCGACTGATCAAGAAAAAGTGTCTGACTTGCTGAATTTCTATATATATAAAAACATATCCCACAATAGCCTTGAAGTAGAAAGTGGCCTGGAACTCAACTCGGACCACTCGCCAGTTTACTTAACATTATTTGAATCTGTCACCTTAAGTCAGCAACCATCTTTCCTAACCAGCCAACTAAGCGATTGGAGTTGTTTTCATAAGTCACTAGATGAAAACATGGATTAACAGCTTGACGATGAAGTCCACAAATTAACGCAGACTCTACAAAATACAGCATGGAATAGTACTCCATTCTCCGGTTCTAAATCTCATCCCAAAACCTATCCAGCTAACATTCGGTTTTAAATATCAACAAAACGCATGCTCAGACAAAAATGGCAAATAACAAGGTATCCACCCTACAAAACAGAGCTAAACAGATTAACTACATACCATATCTGTTAGGTTATTACACACAAAGAAAAAACACGTCTTAACTTCCATACGGTTTATTAACAATGAAAAGAAAAGAAATATAACAGAAGAAGGAAAAATAGAAAAAATATTCAATTAGGGTGTTTGGTTTGCAGTGTTGCATTTACTAGGATTCTTCAACAATACCTAAGTACTCAAATCAAGCTATATAAAAACGAGTCTCTAAAAGTACATCTCAGCAGTCTTACTTATGATAAAAACACCAATTATTCCTTGTAGAGATGCACGAAAAACATAAAGAAGCCGGTTATACAAAATTCTTCCATTCGAACTAACGATGGCAACTGGGCCAAAGATGATTGCGAAAAATCGAATGCATTTCGCGAATACTTAGCTAACGTTTTCATAATAGAAGATATCGATAGCAGTTATCTTGATTCTATATATCTTCCTTTCTCACCAATATGTAGTAAAATTCCATACGTTTCTGAATTAGAACTTATAGAAATTATTAATTCTGAACTTAAATTAAAGATATCGCCTGGATTTGATATGATTACCACTGAAATGTTATGTCAGATATCTGTCAAATGTGCCAATTATGTGGCATCCCAAAGCCGGGAAAACCTGCGCACGACGTCTCATCATATAGGCCTATATCACTACTGCCAATCATGTTCAAGATACTCGAGATAGCAATTTTAAAAAGAATAAGCCCTGTCATATCAGATAACAATATTATATGAATTCACCAATTTGGCTTTAGAAAGAATCATTCTACATTTGACCAGATTTACAGAATAACAAATATTATCGAAAAATTCT